AAGGGAAGGAAAGGGGAGGAGAGGAGAGGGAAGGAGAGGCAGGGGAAGGGGAGGGGAGGGGAGTGATTTTGCCAACATATTATATTACCCGAGTACACAAAATTTGGCACAACCTCGCCTAGCATGTCTACTGTAATTCTCAAATTACTCTCACCTCTAGTTTATGAAATAAGCTCTTTTGTTAGAATAAAAATTTAAAAGGTAACCCTGGAAGAATAAAACATTCCGTTTTTAAAAAGTCTACACTGTTGTTATTTTTATAAATTAGCCTGGAGTGTTTAAAAGTGCAGTGGAAAGCACTTCATATTTATATCAGCTTTCACTCGGTCTCAATATCTTGTTATTCTCTGGGGATAGTAATAACACTAATAAACTGAAAACAACAATAATAGCCATTTAAGTCTCTTTAAAATCATTATCTCTAAGGGCTGTTGAAAACAGGACATGGTTATCAGGGAGTCCCCAGGAATCAGAGCTAGCTCTCCGGCCTGTAACTAACATCATTGCCAAGTTCCTGTGTAGCGAACACGTTCATGCCCATTTTATGGCAGAGCAAGCACAAGTAACTTTTTCAAAAATTACACAGAAACTAGTTAGGAAAAAATGGTAGTCAAAATTTAGCCTCTGTGAGTCAAGATTATAATTTAAACACACACACACACACACACACACACACACACACAGTGCCATTCACTTTGGAATAAATCACTTGAAACATGATTTTCAAATATTGTGACTAGACCCAGATAGGGCAGAATTGTAGAGGGTGGTATCATTGCCCTTGATAGGGCAGGACACGGTGCTGAAGTTACATCCTTTGAACCTTCCAGAAATAGAATAAAATATCCTCTAAAAGAAAATATATAAAGAAGAGCCAAGTAATTTTTTTATACCACTCTGTGATTTGCCCTGGGTATTTGCATAGGCACAATGTTCGGCATATAAGGACAGAACTGGCAATTATTGATTAGATATTTACTTTATGCTTTGAAAGCCTATCTAATGAAATCTTGCAGCTTTCCAAGGCCAGCTGAAGGAGCTGAGATTTAGAAAATGAGCAAGCAGGCACTGATTAAGCTATTTATCTGATTCCAAATATTTATTCAATATTGCTAAGAGCATATAAAATAATAGTAAGAACTACCATTTAGGAAGTACTAATTTATTTCTAGCCACTGTACTAGTGTACTATACACATTCCCACTTTGTTACAACCTGGAAGATATGTTCTGTGGTCGTCATTTTCTTCAGTGGGAACCAGGGGATGAGGAGTTAACACTGTCTGGGGATACATGGGTCATTGGATTAAGGAACCTAAGTTGTGGTACATGGTCTCTCACATTGTTTTTCAGTTGTATCATGTCACCTTTATGTAGGTGGCACTAATATGTCAAGAATAGTACATTTCACTCCCCAATTACCTTTGCACATAGAAATATATTTCACCATTAGGAAAACCTTTCTAACTCAGTTTTGTTTTCTCACAAGTATATGATAACATGTTTACCACAGTATATATAGGGGACATGTATTCATTTTGTACATTTTTATTAAGCACCTGTTATGCACCAAACCTTTTTCTAAGTACTGAGAATATTGTGATTTATAAAGAATATAGTTTAGAAACAGAGAGTCCTTAAACAACCATATGAATAAATATAAAAGACAAAACGCAGATTTTTTAAAAAAAAAAAATCTAAGTAAGGAATTGGATGGAGGGTATTTTGGGGAAAAGAGAGGTCAAGTGTTAAATTTCTAGAATGGAAAGCAGTTGGCAAATTATAAGGTTTCCAATTTCTAAACCTATGCACATATACTCCCTTTAGAGGGAAAATGATTTTATCATGTCAGGGTTTGGGTTGTATGATAGGAATGCAAGGATAAATATAGCAGATTTGGGGGAATTTACTTAACGTTTCTCATGCTTCTATTTCTACATCATTAAAACAACTTACTTTCCCATCACAGTTTACATCTGATATTATTCTGTATTCGTTTTTGATGCACAGCAAAGCTGTTAGACCATGGTGTACTTAATAGTGAGACTATTTGTTCTATTTATCTCCAAGTTCATAAGAAACCCATGAGATAATGCTTGTGCAAGCAATTTGAGAACCATCGAGTTGCGTATTAATAAATAATACACATCACTGTGCATTACATTTTAATAACAGTGACCTTATAATTGGGAACAGAGAGAACTTCCCTTTCTCTCAGTTCACTTTTTGTGCTTTTTTTTTCTTTTTTTTTCTTTTTTTCCCCTAGCTATCTACACCCTTTGTCTTTCCTTCTCTGACTTGCAGAGGGTGACCGAAGCAATGGTCCTTGGTGGAGATGCAGAAGTAACCTTGCCATTTCATCCCAGGAAACCCCCTTCTCCCAGATGACATTAGAATGAGAAAGGAATGTGGAGATGGTGGTCAATATCCATGGAATTTTGCAAATAGTTTTTTTTAAGATAAAATTTCAAAGTTAAATTTCACTATATGCATTTAACTTTATTTACATGTGTTATGTTTTCACTTAACTCGATATTTTCATGTCCAATGAATAGCTAATAGGATGATCGAAGTGTGATTTTTAAAATATTTCCTAGATAAATAGTGTGAAAGCAATATAAATTTCTGCCTTAAAACAGTGTAAGAGCCCATATTTTATCCAGAAAAAAAAAAAACACAAAGAAAACAGCCCATACACAAATTTAACTTCAATGCCTATGTTTTAGGGAAATTGAGAAAAATATTGAGTTGCACGAAAGAAATCTGGTGACAATAAGTAGTTACAAGTCCACTGATATACTTACTGACCTTTTTACAGATACCTTAGAATCTAAGACCCCTCATACTATGAGTTGAAATGGACTGTATGAGACTGAGGGCCCTGAACCGGGGACAGTGTGCAGGGATCTGAAATTTACTAGATGAGCCCCATGGACTGGTCAGTGCTGGCCCCCATGCCGCTGTGTCTTCCTGCGGAGGGAGACTCCTGGTTCTGGAGAGAGGGGATGTCAGGTGGCCTGGCACACCCAGCCTCAGCAGACAGTATCCTCAGCCTCCTGAGGAAGCAGCACTGAAGCTGCTGCTGTATAAAAGCGAGAAGCAGTATTGACATTTCGAAGCTCAGAACTATGTTTTTAACAAGCCTGCAAATACTGGGAAATCGCTAGTACAGTTTTCTCCAGAGGATGCAGTGCTGTTAGAAGGTACTCCCGCCCCCACTACAGTGTGGATCTGGATAAAATATGTGCAATGAAATTTCAGGGCAAAATCTGATGCCGGAATCATCTACAACATGGCAGATTTATACCTGGGGTGGTTTTTATTTATTTTCAAATGTGGATTCCCTGAAGAGCTCAAATGTTCTACATGTTACTTACGGCTTCTCCTTGAAAAGACTTACCTCTAAGGTCTGGGCAACATAAAACTTGAGCTGCACGTCCTCAGAATCAAGCATGGGCCATAATTCTCCTTCGCCGCTGACTCGGGGTGGTTTGGAATTAACTAGAACTCGACCTATATAGTAATTAATAATTTATAATTAAACTGGCAATTTGAGTAAATCAGCATAACCGTAAACATAGTGTCTCCTCTCTCTGTTATCTTCCCTTTTATTTTCAGAATCTGAAAGAGAATTGAGAAGAAATGTTATAAGCTTTGTGGCCCCTCCATCCCTACCCCTTATCCCATTTTTTTTTTTTGTCCAATGTGTTCTTTAGATCTTTCTTTCAAAGAAGAATCAAGCATGTACCTTGTCAGCCTTATGCCAGAGTCTGAGGAAACAAGGGTGAAATCCCTTCCTCATCCTCAAGCATCTCCCTCACTAGGTAAAGGGACATGGACCCAGCCTGTAGGAGTTTATTGAGAAAGATGTAATTATTGTTGTCTTCATCTTCGTCTTCCTTGTCATCTGGTAGTTAACATTTATTGAGTGTTTCTTTCCTATCATGCACTGTATGAAGCCCTTGTTTTGTCTAAACCTCACAACACATTTAGGTTAGCTACTACTATCATCTGTATTTCGCAGCTGAGGAAACCAAGAGGGGAAGGTAGTCTACCTTGCCCAAGATTATTCAACAGCTGAGGAGTTGAGATCTGGAGCCCTGCCCTAACCACTGGGGTATGATGTCATTATGCCTATGTTTTATAGTACAACTAGAGACATGATTCATGGAATTCATGCATTGGGGAGGGGGTCCCTCAGCCTGGCCTGCGCTCTCTCACAGCCTGGGAGCCCTTGGACTGATGGCTTAGGCCTGCTTCCCCTGGGAGAGTGCACTGACCACCAGGAAGAAACTCCTGCATTGAGGACTGGTCATTCTGCCTTTCAGCCAATTTTCATATTAGCCTTTTATTATATAGGATTATATAGGATATTATAGTGGTCATAATAGCAGGTGTAGTGTATTGCTGACTCTGGTTGGGCAAGTCAGAGGCAATTTTTCTGTGTTTTAAAAGATATGTTTGAGGAATGAAAAGGAATTTTCAGGTAAAGAAATGTGAAAGAAAAGAATTGCAGGATGCAATAATATGTGCAAGACCAAAGAATATGGAGATGTCGGGAATGCTCAAGGGAGGATAACTAACTCAGTGTGGTTGGCTTTATTGAAAAATAAAAAGGGCTTAAGTGGGTGCAACTCATGCCTATTTGCTTAAGTCAGCAATTCTCCTAAAATAAATGAGCACATGGACAGACAGGAACTCAGAAAATGTTGTTAAGTAGTTTCCTTTTGGTTTGACCTTTCAATCAACAAGCATTAATGTCCTTGTCTTCAGTTCCTGTGCTTCTTCCCCACCCACACACCTGCCTCCTACTGCAAAACATAAGTGCACTGTACATGTTGTGTTGGTGGCCACATCCTTGGCCAATCAAGAAATCAGAATATTATTGCTGAGATGTTACTCATTATACTGCGTGCTAAATGAATATGTATAGGCTAGCACCTTCTTTTGAGTGTAAAGACTAATTCTCATGTATTTATTCTCTTCTCTGTCTCTTCGCAGTCCCTCCACAAATCATGAACATCTCCTCAGATATCACTGTGAACGAGGGAAGCAGCGTGACCCTGCTGTGTCTTGCTATTGGCAGACCAGAGCCAACTGTGACGTGGAGACACCTGTCTTTCAAGGGTAAGGCATGTACCTAGAGAGACCTTAGAGTCGGTATTTTGAAGGCTTTATTCTGTTTTACATCAGAACATCTGGAATCAGAAAACAATGCTGTCTGACACCAGAGTAATGTCAGAGCAAAGGCCACACCCATCAGTCACTGAGTATCCCATTCCTAATGGATATTTTAGATAATATTTATATTTACAGATAATCTTTACTCAATTGTTATTTCAGTCCTTTTTATGACTTTAGCTGACTTTTTGTGTTTTCCAACTGTGAAGAAGAGAGGTGCTGTAAGCATAACTTCCAACAAAGACACTCATTTCTCAAAGTCAAGATTGTGTGGGTTAGTTGGTGGGTTGTTCTTCTTGATATAGAGCAGAGAACATGGCAGTGTCCACTGGGACCACTAATACCCTTGTGTATTGAGGAGAAAAGGGGCCTCCCTGCTCAGGACTTTCTGGACATCAACCTAGTGCCACATATGTTTGACCTGTTAATAAATAGCTCTCTCGAGTAGAGGAAGGATGAAAGAAATGGTGAGGGGGGGAGGGGTCATGCCATGATTGGTATTGACATATTGGTTATGAGCATCTTCAACTTACTAGGAAGGGAACCAAAGAGACAAGGGGCCTCATGCCCTTGGAACTAAAACTTGCTCCAAGTTGAACTTGAAGAGATGCACACAGAGCCACTTGATATATTTAGACTGTTAATAGAAACAATGATTAATTCCAGAAATTAGACAAGAAAGAAATGGTTCCCTCAGGCAACAGAAAAACTAAACCTGCAATCCAGGGAAGAGGGAAATGTGGGGTATGCCTGTGTATGTGTGTGTGTGTGTGTGTGTGTGTGTGTGTGTGTGTGTGTGTGATTTAAAAAGAATAGAAATCTAGAGGAAACATAGAAATAAATCTTAGTAACCTTGCACAAAAAACTTGATAAATTTGGCTTTGTATTATTCGTAATCAGCTGTTAAAAAAAAATACCACAAACTGGATGACTTAAACAATAGAAATGCATTTTCTCATAGCTCTGGAGGCCAGAAGGCCATAAGGAAGGTGCAGTCAGGTTGTTTCCTTCTGAGAGCCATGAGGTGTCTGTTTCATGCCTCTCCTGGGCTTCTGGTGGTTGGCTGGACATCTTTGGTGTTTCTAGATGTGAAGGTGCATCATCTGATCTTGGTCTCATCTTAACATGACTCCCCCACTCCCACCCCACCCCCGTATGCATCTCTCAGCCAATTTCTTTCTTTTTATAATGAAACCAAACATGATGGATTAGCGCCCCGACTAATGGCCTCATCTTCAGTTGATTACCTCTGTATAGATCCTATCCTATGTAATTAAAGGCTGATATGCAAATTGTTCCCTTGGGTGTTGGATCGCTCACTGTGATGGTTGTTGACTACCAGGGGTGACACAGAAAATGGCGGGTGACCAGCAGTGGTGGAGGTGGGTGCTGATGGAACAAGGGAAAGAGAAGACAGGGAGGCTGAAGCTGGGGAACCTGATTGGCCCTGATCACCGGCCAGGCCTAGGAACCCTACTCATGCACAAAGGTCATGCACGGGACCTCTAGTTTCCAAATAATGTCACATTCTGAGACACAAGGAATTAGGACTTTAAGGTATCTTCTGAGGGGGATGCAATTCAACCCATAACAGGCTGAATCAAAATTAAAAACACCATTAAGATATGCATAATCCAAGAACACAGAAAGTAGTACAGTGAAGGCCTGGGGAGAGGGTGGAGGCAGAGTGGCAAGGGTCAATGGGGGTGGGGGGACATCTGTAATATGTTCAACAATAAAGATACATTGTAAAAAAGAATAAATGAAGAGGCAAGCCACAGACTGAGAGAAAACATTTGCTGTACTTAGACCTGACAAAAAGAATTTACATCTGGGCTCTGTGAAGAATTCTTACAGCACAATTGTAACAACCCACCATGAAATGAACAAACTATTTGAACAGACAGTTCACAAAAGGAGATATGTGAATGAAAAATAAGCACCTGAAAATATGTTCGACATCTTTATCATAGAAATGAAAATCAAACAGTACTGAGATACTTCTATACAACTACTGGAATGACAAACATGGAAAAGACTGACAATGCCAAGTGTTAGTGAGGATGTGGAGTGACTGAACTCATACTAACTCTAAGATGTGAAATGGCATAAGTCCTATGGGGAAAAAAGCTTGGCACTTTATGATGAAGTTAAAAACACACTTAGCATGTGACCCAGCAAGTCACTTTTAGGTATTTAGCAAAAGTAAATGAAAACAAGAATGTCAGCAAACATGCATGGTACACAAATGTTTATAGGGGCTCCATTTAAATCAGCCTCTAACTAGAAATAACCCAAATAACTATCAACAGGTAAATACATTTAGATATATTCTTACAGATGACTTCTGAGCGATTAAAAGAAACCAACCATTGGTACACATAGCACAATGGATAAATCTCAGTAACACTAGGGAGCAAAAGAAGTGAGATACTACAAATGCATGCTGTATGATTTCATTTATCTGAAATCGTAGAACAGACAAAAGTAATCAATAATGACTGCCATCAAGCCAGTGCTTACCAGGGTAGGAATGTTTGAAAAAGTGACTGCAAGGGGCACAATGGAATTGTGGGGGTTGATGAAAATATTTTATATCTTGAGTAGGGAGATAGTGACATTGTTTAAGTTAGTCAAAATAAATCAAACTGTACAATAAAAATAGGTGCACCTGAAATGTCCCCCTCCTAGTCTGAAACAAAAATCATATGAGCAGCACTTATAAGTAAGAAGCTGGGTTGGGTACTAGGAGTGCAATGTAAGCTTCCACTATTGCACTCTGTTCATGCATGAGGAGAATAAAGCTTTCAGCCCTGCCTTGTTCATGGGAAGACATGCTAATGAAGCCGCGAATCATATTTATATAAAGGCCTCATCTACTGACCCCAAATGCCAATGTGATAAAGTCGAATTAACATGAATATTAAAAGTGTACATAAGAAGCCTCCCCAATCTTTGCTTGAGCAGAACCACAGCACTAGTGCGTGTTCCTAAAGACAAAAGGCTCATGGGAAATTTGCTCAAAGTCAGAGAGAATTTTGGATTTACATTATATCCAAACTGTGTCTAACCTTCAGACCAATCTATACATAGTTGGTGAAGTCTGATGTTCTTAGAAATGCTAAAAACCCCAGGGTGCATTTATTTGATCCTAAATACACAGTTTTCTAAGCCTACAAATCTCGGGAAAAGGTCTTTGACATTGTGTGTTTTTAACAATGTTTAGAGTTGTCATTGGTAAGATTTCCTCTTAAAATAGGGAGATTATCCACATTTCCAAACTTTTTTACAATGCAATAGTTGCAATGCAGCCTTAAAAAAAAAAATATCAGAAAATCCTAAAGTTAAATGATCCTGCCTCTTTAAATCTCCCAGGGATGCTAGGCTTTCAAATTGCCTTTTGTTATTCTGGAGCCCTGGCCTTCACCTTGTATTTCCCCTATTGTCTCTCCCCATCCCCCCCCCCCCCCCCCCCACTTATCTTCCCCTGGAGGGATTGTGAGTGTAAAAGCCACATCTTTTGTGACCATCAAAATTTAATTTAGGCAGGGACTCCTTCTCACCTAGAGTTGAGCAGGCTTTGGAAAGTGGTTTTAAACTTTCAGAAGAGCAGCCAATAAAACTTGAACATCAATCAGCATTTTTAGAACCATTTACCGGTTAGTTCAGCATGCAAGAATAAGAAATAAAAGCCACAATGACATTTCCTTTGGCATTCCAGTGAGATTACTTTGGATAATTGAGCTCACTGGACATCTGGGTTCCCCGAATGTTAATGAAATATATTAAATCTGCTCTTTGAAATTTGGGGATCTATATAACAAATGGATAAACAAACTTTTATTTAGAAAAAGAATATTTTAATGAGCAGATTATTAAATATGGAAAATAACGGTAACACTATGGTTTAAAAAGACAGTTCAAGAACATGCCCCCAATCCCTAGAAATTATAGAAAAGAGATGTAGACTAATGACTGTTGGCATAAGAATCATCCAAACCTGTAGAGAATTTTTATTTATGAGTTTATTTGAGCCATGCTGAGGACAGTTTCGGGGAAGCAAAAATCTCAATGGATTGAGAAAAATCTCTGGAAAATGACACTTTTACAGCTTATTTTATACATCAAAATCACAGGGGAAGACATTAGGTGGTTACATGAAATCCACTGGTGGTAGAATAGGTAGGTGGGAGAAAGCAAAGTGGGAAAATCTCTGGGATCAGAATAAAAGTAAAATGGAGAGACATGTATTTCTTTTGCATTGGTTAACAGGATAGTTAACAATTAACACTAACAGAACATAGGAATGGTCTAGGTCCATGGTCAGCAAACTGCAGCTCACAAGCCATATGTGGCTCTTTGGCCCCTTGAGTGTGGCTTTTCCACAAAATACCACGGCCTAGATGAATCTATTTTGAAGAAGTGGTGTTAGAAGAAGTTTAAGTGTAAAAAAAATGGCTCTCAAAAGAAATTTCAATTATTGTACTATTGATATTTGGCTCTGTTGACTAATGAGTTTGCCGACCACTGGACTAGAGGAACAAGATAATGAGGGGTTCGCTGGTCTTGGTGTTCTAGTGGAGATTGTGCCCTGTGGTGTCTGGAAAAAATGGATTACTCTGACATTAAGCAGATAATGTGTTGTTGTTGTTTTAAAAAGAAAATTCATTCGTTTATATGGATTTGCGAGAAAACATGGCACTTTTTGTCAGCCTTCACACATGAAAATGTGCACAGAATGGTCTACAGTTTAGGAAGTAGGATAATGATGGCACCAAAGACCACCACAATGTGCCGATGAAAAGAGTGGGCAGGACCCAACCCAGGCAGGCAAAATGGACTGGCGAGTGGCCAGTGTGTATGGAATACAATTGTGAAACAGGGGTGTTGCAAGTATACGTGTTTCCCTTGCTGAGGGACAGAAGAAGGGGCACTGGACCAGCATT